ATTTAAATAGAAAAAAATCTGTACAGTTACTGATGCTACTTATAGATAAATAAATGCAGTGAGTAATATAGAGATTCAGTTATAGGGGATTAATAAACAGACTGCTTGGCCAAAATGAGTATATTCTTTATCTAGCTGCTTCCTTCATCTATTTATTTTAGTTGGTTTGAGTCATGGAGACACTGACAAAGGAGCATGCTCCAAATTCTTGACGTTATCCTCCTAATAGTCATAGTAGTTTCCCTGGTATGCTATGTTCTCTGAAAAGTTCTAAATGCTTATATATAGCCATGTGTAAAATACCAAATGGTCTCTGACTGAAATGACAAAATTTTTTTAAAAAGCATGATCATAAGATACTATAACCAATTAATGACATACTTGAGACCAAAACCCCAAAATAATGGTAACTGAGAGTGGCACTAGAGTCCTAAGTTTTAGTCAGTCTCTCACCTAAGTAAAAAAAAAAAAACCTGACGAAAGGGAAGCATTGTTAAATGAAGTTATGAGCCATTATTTTAGACTAAATTCATAAACTGGGCTCCAAGAGACCAGACAACCCAAAGTAGAGTCAGTCATACTGAATGGAACATAATCAAACTAAAACTTAAAAAAAAGATAAATTCTTTAAAACAGACCACACTTTTATTTATTTTTCTTCTAAAGATAAGAGGTTTCAACAGAATTCAACTCGACTTTGTTACAAAAAAGTAACCTAAAAATCCTTGTTCCCCTCTTACAAAACTTACTGTTCTATTATTTCCCAGTGAAATTTAAGACCAGATAAATACATTCACAATAGTGACAGAGAGACATCAATGCCTAAAGTTTTGACCAATCTCTCAAAATTGAGAAGTTGACCAAAAAGAGAGAATTGCAAACTTGCATTAGCTTAAAGCTGCCTCCTTACATGTTTTAAGTTAGGCCTAAAGGTTTCTCCTTGCTGAGTGAATTGTAACCTAATTGAATGTGTAAACAGCCTATCTCGTACCAATCTCTCTTGTACCAGTCACTGAGTTTCGGCCAAAGGCAGCTAACTGTTCAAATCATGTCCAAATCAGGTGAACACCAAGCTGTACCTCAGTTTTGTTTATTGTAAATCGTTTTCCTTTCTCTGTCCCTAAATCCTCTCCAACCACATGGCAGCTGTAGAGTCCCTTTGAACCTATTCTGGTTTGGGGGCTGTCTGAATTGCAAATCATTCATTGCTCCATTAAGCTCTGTTAAATTTCATTTGTTAAATTTTCTTTTAACAATGGTGTTCATGAAATATTTTTTGAGGGGATGGATGAATAGTAGGTTGGATGGATGGACAGGTGGATGACCAAGCATAGAACTTTATTTTTATGCCATACTCATCCTTGTTTATTTGCAAGGCTTTATTCAGGGCTGCTCAATTTTCTATATACCCACTGAAAACCTAGGTTCTATTCTCTGTCCCCATGTAGCTATAAGATTTTGGGTAAGTACCTTAACCACTTTGAACTCATTTGTTAAAAAGGATGGTGAACGAGTGTCTATTTTTTTTTCTTTTGAGTCGGAGTCTCACTCTGTCTCCCAAGCTGGAGTGCGGTGGCACATTCACAGCCATCACAGCCTCGACCTGCTGTGCTCAGGTGATCTTTCCACCTCAACTTTCCAAGTAACTGGAACTATAGCTGCATGCCACCACACCTGGCTAATTTTTTGATTTCTTGTTGAGACAAGGCCTCACCAAGTTGCCCAGGCTGGTCTCAAACCCCTGGACTCAGGCAATCCTCTCACCTCGGCCTCCCAAAGTGCTGGAACTACAGGTTTGAGCCACTACACCCAGCTGGTGTCTATTCATTTTCTTTCCAGCACTAATGTTCTTTACTTTTATTTTTTCCACTGAAAATTTCATCCATTGTATTTTTAATAAATGTTTTTTAAATTTTTATTTTACTATGTTAGTGTATCTTAAAATGCCATGTAAAATGGAAAATTGGGTCATTTAAAAACAAAGATGATAGTGTAAACACTAACACTGGTCCAATAGTAACCTAGGCAACTCAAGATTTTCAGGAACTGATTACTCAGTTTTGGCTTATTCTTGCTATTTTTTCTCTGGTCTCCTCTAAGATATTGTGTATTAACTTTTCTATCTGAAGGTGATTAAGAAAAATGAGAATAAAAAACACCTGTTAGTTAATTATTCTCTCATATGATTTACTTAGAGATTACAGGAAGCTGTGGGCTAAAATGTCACTTGGACATGGTCATGATGATGTCTGAGGTGGCTACAGAAACAGTTCTTGGCCACCTGGGCTGAAGAGCATCCTGTACTTACCTCTTTAACACACTAATCACGTGGTATTTGTCAGTTCACTAGTCTCTGAGCTCCTTAAATAGAGGTATTATGTTTTATTCATCTCTGTGTCTTTGCATCTGTCTCCTAGTGGTATAAACAGTAATACTTACACTAGTGGTACTCCTAGTAATAATAATAAAGAGAAAAGCTAACTTAATAAACAAAGGGCTAACTAGGGGCTAAGCATTGTTTTAAGCATTTCACATGCTTCATCTATTTAATACTCATCACAAGCCTATGAGGTAGGTACTGTTGCCATCCCTAATTTACAGATGGGCACATAGAGGGTAATAAAGGTCATAGAGACTGTAAATGGTGAGACTGGAGTTTGAATCCATGTAGTCAAACACTGGGAGCTCAATTCTTAACCACTGTGTTGTACTTCATATAATCATTACAGTAAACATGAATGAATCAATGAATGAATGAATGAACGAACAAGTACGTGAATACCCAGTGGTCCTCTCTAAGTATTCATATTATTGGAGTGTTATGTAACTTGTGTTCTGCCTATCTCCCTTTAATACATACACTCACACAAAGTTGTCAGCACTTCAATGGATAGTATCTTTATAAAGTTTTTCTTCTCATCAATAAATTGAAAAGAAATATTTTGAGATTTTTATTCATCTTTACATTTTCTTAGTTTGACAATTTTTGAGTTTGACAATTAAAACCCATATTTTTACAAAATGGATCACCATTTTGCTGGACTACGCTTTGTAATTCAAATAAGTGAAATTTGCCTAATTCAAGTCACCCCCTGCTTCTTAGTAGGTACTTAAGTGTGTGGACTCAACCAGATGGCATTGGTCATTCTTCACAGGGCAAAGTATGTGTTACCTTTCTGGGTCAAGGTAGATTTCGGCTTGCTGACTTATTGTTTAGCACTCAGTGGGACTATCTAACACATATTCATAAATTTAAGGTGTATGTCTGCAAAAACTATTGCTCTCCATTCCCTTTTCATGTGTCTGGTTGAGTGTTCAGAAATAGTAACTTGAGATAAGGTTTAGGAAAATGTACATACTCTGAGCATATATTTTTTTAAGTTGCTATATGTTTTATGCCAAATCATTTCCTTTTACCTGATCTTTGTAGCAGTACTAGGAAAAGAAGAAATTGTTTACTTATGGGTAAATTAATCTTTGAACCTAGAAAGCTTTGATTAATTAGATGTTACCATCTATATTGTAAAAGACAGTGTGACATGATAGCCTCAGATGGTTTTGAAAAATGTACCTAACAGGGAATTTGGAATTATTAAGGTGTGTTAAAGTGAATCATTAGATAAGTAGAACACGAAGGCAGTTAGAAAATGGTTCTTTGAAGATGTGGCGATTGGTCTGGACCTTGCCACGAAGGTTGCAGGTGTGCCTTTGAGGGGGCAGCTAATTCTGTTGGAAGGAACACTCAGAGATGGAAAGAACAGATTAAATAAGAGAAGTAGCAAGCAGTTTGATGAGCTGTGGAAATCACTTCAAGTAAGCAAAGCCCTTTTCATGACCTGCATCAGTCTCCCCTCCCTCCTTCCCTCAAAAACTTCCCAAAGCAAACCACACTGTGAAGGTTAACAGTGTTATCTAAGCCGGGCTCGGTGGCTCAGCGGCTCAGCCTGTAATCCCGCGCCTTGGGGAGGCTGAGGTGAGTGGATTGCCTGAGCCCGCGGGTTCGAGACCCGCCTGGGCAGGCGAGATCTCATCTCTATAATAAATAAAAAATTAGCCGGGCGTGGTAGGACGCGCCTGTAGTTCCAGTTACTTGGAAAGTTGAGGCGGAAGGATCTCCTGAACCCAGCAGGTCGAGGCTGCGGTGGCCATGAGCGTGCCACTTCATTCCAGCCTGGAAGAAAGAGTGAGAATCCAACTCAAAAAGAAAATAAACTTACAACTTAAAATCTCTGTAAATTCAGAATACTCTAAGAACAAATTTGTAGCCGGGCTCGGCTCAGCCTGTAATCCCGCGCCTTTGGGAGGCTGAGGTGAGTGGATTGCCTGAGCCCGCGGGTTCGAGACCCGCCTGGGCAGGCGAGACCTCATCTCTACAATAAATCAAAAAATCAGCCGCGCGTGGTAGCGCGCGCCTGTAATTCCAGCTACTCGGAAGGCTGAGGCGGGAGGATCGCCGGAGCCCAGCAGGTCGAGGCTGCGGTGGCCGGGAGCGGCCACTGCACTTCAGTCTGGGCGACGGAGTGGGACTCCAACTCAAGAAAACAAAAACAAAAACAAAAAACAGTGTTATCTGTGCAAATGCCGCAATCAAACAAATCCCTCAGGCCTCCCTGCCTCTCAGCTAGATCACCAACTCTAAAAACATCCACCATTTTATACCATCCGTGTTCATTTGGCGTTATTGGGATGAAGGGTATCCCACTCAAATAACTCTTCTCAGGACTTGATCAACTGTAGGCATGTTGAACGGGTCCAAATCCTTCCAGACGTCCCATTTTAGAGAACATCAGCTTGTTTGCCCTGAAAGAACTAAGCACAGACATAAATTGTAAGTATTCACGTACAGTTAATATTAGCTTTAATTCAGGCTAAGTACATAGTGCTGTATCTCAAGGCCTGCTGTATAGGAGGTCCTCTGAAAATATTTTCTGCTCCTAATATTCAGTTTATTTTGATTTTTTAAAAACTTTCTCATCTTGTTTGTCTGTTTTCTTTTAAAGGAGAGGTTTAAGGAAGCTGAAGAAATATACCAAGCTGGAATAAAGAACTGTCCAGACAGCTCAGATTTACACAACAACTATGGGGTTTTCTTAGTTGATTCTGGTGAGTGAAATTAAAGAGAAACTGTTCTGTTGAGATTAGATATTACTGTTTATCAAGCAAAGTAAGTAATCTCTCAGAAATAAAATGCACGGAAGCTCACACTGTTGACAGTCATTGTACCTTAGGGCTGTCATTTCTCTAAATCTTCAAGTTCCGTTCAGTAAAATCTGCCCAGTTCTTATAGTCATGTCTCTAAGGAAAACTCCCCAGGTGGCAGGAAGTAGCCTTGATGATTTAATGAGTCCCAGCCTTCTTTGAGTATCATTTATACATATTTATACATCTATGATGATGAAATGTTCCCCTGCAATGATGCAGAACTTGCCTCTGAATCTAGTTACCAGCAGATGGTAAATACTTTTCTATAAGTCATTTTTTTAAAGCCTCCAGAATTGTTTCATTGTCCCTTCCTTGATATACATGAAAGAAACTGCATTATTAAAATTGATACAGTGCTTGTATATGACAGGTGCTATATAAAATACACTTATTTCATCTTATTTAATACAAAACATTACTGGACAGGGATTCTATATTCTTTATGATTTGCGCAGAATCCCATATACTGTTAGCATGCAATGAATACTTATAAGTAATGAAATTATATTCTAATTGAATACAAAATCACTGCTTTGTTCTTGTTGACTAATAGACTAGGTGCTCTGTAGTAAAATTCAGTTTTAATTATTTCTTCAATATGAAATACTTGAGTGGATTTTTATTTTTTAGGCTATTTGAAACTCTTCTGTTTTATAGAATATAAATGTACATTCTGATACATGAAGGAAGCTACTTATTTTTGCATGTGTAAAATTGTTGTGTAGTGCCACCTGCTGGTTCATTAGCCACATAATAATACATTGTCATAAAGATAAAATCCAAAAGCGACCTCTAATTGGCCTGGTCTATCTAACCTTCCTTTTACTTCAACAACAGAGAATTCTACTTCACGTCTCTAAAAACAACAGCAACTCACTGACCACTCTATGAAGGGGGACCCCAAAAAAACAGGGATTTATTTACTAAAAAAAATGGTGTATTTATTCTTCCATGCTTAAATTTCAGTCACCTTCCAAGTACTCTCCGTGTGATGCAATACACCTATTGAGATGCTTTTTCCACTGCTCAAAACAGTTTCTGAACTCTCTAATTTTGATGCCTTTCAGTGCTTCTGCTGTTTTCTGTTCCACCTCTTTCACACTGGCAAAACATTTCCCTTTTAGAACTTTTTTCATCTAGGGAAATTAAAAAGAAGCCATTCGGGGTGAGATCAGGTGAATAGGAAGGGTGAAGCATGGGGGGTCATGCCATTTTTTGGTCAAAAACTGCTGAACCTTCAGTGTGGTGTGGGTAGGTTGTCATGGTGGAAGAACCAGTCATCTATTTGCCACAGCTTGGGCCGTTTCTTCCTGCAAATTGTGACACAACCTTCTCAGAACTTCTAGATTAAAACTTTGGTTGACCATGTAATCCAGAGGAACAAATTCTAAGTGTACCACAACCTGCTCTCTAAAAGAAAATTCCATTTTTGGGGGACCCCCCCCCGTGTGTCTCTTTTGGTAATTCCTAGTCAAACATATTCAAAGCAGGTGCACTTTAGAAAATTTATGTGCAAATAATAAACATTACATTCCATTTAGAACTTCAGATTGTTCTAAAAATGTAGTTTCATAGATATAGTTTCACTAGGATGCTTCTTTGAAGGAACTTATCAGACTAGAAAGAAATTTCATTCTAGTTCTAGCCTTTACTCTCACTTGTCCTGAGATCTTTGTCAAGTCTCTTAATGTCTTTGCATTTCAGTATCTGTATCTGTAAAGTGGTAGTGTGTGTGTGTGTGTGTGTGTGTGTGTGTGTGTTGTGTTTTAATATCTCTTAATTCTCAAGAGGCAGCTGAACGGTATTAACGATACCTGCAAAAATGATATAAATAAAAGTAGTTTAAAATAAATAATTCATGGAACAAATGCAAGGTGGAATTATCATTGTTTAAGGTTCCATTAAATAAATGCCATTTATGCAAAAATATAGGATTTTAAAAGAGATTTTCAAGATAGAGCTGATACACACTTATTTAAAGCAATGCCTCAGTTACTATGTCGCAGTATAATTAATTGAGACCAATCCTTAGCAATTACTTCTGGACAGTTTTGTTCCTACAATAGCCTATTCTATTTTTTTTATAATGAGAAGTAGCTATATCTTGGATAAATAATAATCACTGGTAGTCTGAAAACATTATATTAGTGAGAGCAATGTCCAAAAACCACTTTGAGTTAAATAATATATGATAATAAAGGGAATGGGTTTTAATTTTCCTTTTTATTATTATTTTTTGTAAGTATGATGAAGAGTGAAATGATCCAAAGTTGGGCAATAGCAAGGATGAGAAGCCAAAGGAAAGCTAATTTGCAAATTGAATAATTGATGGCATGACCCTGTAGTAAATTAAGAAGTATTTAAAGTCAGAAAAGAAACTGAAGAGCTCGTGTATTTCATAATTAAAGCATATTCTACTCTTACTGACTAATTACTGATTACAGGCTTTCCAGAGAAGGCAGTAGCCCATTACCAACAGGCCATCAAACTTAGCCCCGGTCATCACGTGGCCATGGTGAATCTGGGGAGACTCTACAGGTCACTGGGAGAGAACAGCATGGCTGAAGAATGGTACAAACGGTAAAGTTCCTTTTCTTCACTTTGTAAGTTGCCCCACGATCTCAGCAGTTGCCCAACAACTTTTTGGTTAATTGGAACAGTGCTCTCCCAGAATACTAGCACATTTGGCCAATTCGGGTGATACAGATTCTCATCTCCAAAAGAACAATACTAAAGCAGTATACATGGTATTCCAATTTTTGACTTTGTTTCTTGCTGGTTAGAACATGGTTCCAAAACAAGGTTGGAATTTAATTCCCACTTTAGTTAGTTTGTTTTCTGAAATTGCGAGTCGCAACCCAAACCACAAATGGAATTTTAAAAATGGGAATACATGAAAACTCTGCATGCATCAGAACAAATCTAACACCATTTATGGAAAAGGTCCTTGAAGCTCAGTTTTTATATTGCTAAGTCACTAACATCATTCTTATGCTCAGAGGGTGGCATCGTGATCTTAAAAAAAACAAAACAAAAAAACCCTTGTTTTTGATATAAAAACAAAGACCATGTTGGAGCAGAGGCTCAGTCCACGGACAGTCTTCCCTAAATCTAAACTCAGACATTTGGAAATGCCCCTGTTTGAAGAAAAGGGTCAATTAGCCTTTCTCCCAACTCAGCGCCCTGCAGGTGGCACACAAAGCTGAGATACTGTCACCTTTGGGAGCACTGTATTACAACACTGGCCGATACGATGAAGCTCTGCAGATTTACCGGGAAGCTGTGGCACTTCAGCCTTCTCAGAGGGAGCTCCGACTGGCACTGGTGAGTAGGGGGGGAGAAAACGAAGCTGGCAACCTAAGCATAGAACAGGGTAGAGAGAACTATGGCTGCCAAGCCTCAAGACTGGGCTGGAATGCTAAATATATCCATCGCATGATTGTTCATATAACCAGGGTTAGAGCCATTCACTGGAGACATGGACACCAAAAACACTGCATTCTTGTTTGGAAATAATTTCAAACTTACAAAAAAGTTGCATGACTATTCAAAAACTCCCATATACCCTTTCACCAAGATCCATCAGTTTTTTTACATTTTGATGCATTTTTACTCCCTTGTGCGTGCATGTATGTGTGCATACATATATGTATGTGTGTGTATATATATATGCATATTTCTATATGTATGCATGCATTTCTTTTCCTGAACCATGTGAGAGTTAGTTATAGATATCACACCCCTTTATCTCCAAATACTTTCACATATACTTTCTAACAAAAAGGACATTCTCTAACATAACCACAATATGACTATCATCATCGAGAAAATTAACATTCATACCAACAATATTTTTATTTCAATGTTCGAAACGTCACTCTTTATTTTCCTTAGATGTACAATCAATCAAACTTGTTACAAACCCACTGTTAGGTTGAAATCAGAGGAAGTTATTTCTCTTCTGACATATTTAGTCAAATTTTTTTTAAAAAGGCAGATGCCTTTTCACTGGATATCTTTGGTTTTTCTGCCATTCTCACATAAATGCATGCACAAACCTAAATAAAGAAAGGAGCAAATGGCAAAAAGTTAAAACTCATAAACTGTGGCGATTTAACTCTGTCTGTGAGTCACTAAATAGAATCTGAGCATTTTTGTCAGGGGTGTTTTCTGAATGCTTCCGTTTAGGTTTGCTTTATTTCATAAGGTAATAACAGTGTCTGCTAAGCCAAGGTCCATGTGGTTTTGCAGGCTCAGGTTTTGGCCGTGATGGGTCAGACGAGAGAAGCTGAAAAGATGACCAATCACATCGTGTCAGAGGACACTGGATGCCTTGAATGTTACCGCCTCTTGTCAGCCATCTACAGCAAGCAGGAACACCATGAGAAGGTAGAGAAGAGGATGGCTTAGGGTTGTTTGGATTCATGAGTAGAAAATGGTGTGCATCTCAACGAGTTTCTAGTTGCACATTTATAAGGCTGAGAAGTCTTAAATGTCATCACTGGGCATAGCATAGCCATGATATCACAGACATCCCCTGAACTCCTAAGATGTCCCCTTGAAATAATATTTTCTTGGCTCATCTTTGGTTTAAAGATTTTATGTGGTATTGTATCAGCTTGTTTCCAGCTAACTCTATAAAGATCAAGACTAGCATTTGTATGCTTTATTGTTTTCCATTTTCCTTCTATTAATAATATATTGTTTTATGTAATCCTTATAACAACCCTGAAAGGCAGGTCAGTGACCCGGTGTTGCGACTATTCAGGTTTACGTCCATTTTAGAAGCCACACAATCAGTAAATTTATAAACTGATTCAACAGAATATTTCTTGGATGTCCACTATATTCTAGACACCATGGTAGACACTGCTATAACATGGTAGACACTGGTTTATAAACAAACAAACAAAACACTACCCTTGTCATGGAGATTATAGTAGAGGAGGAGACAGAGATTAAACAGGTCATCACAAGACAAATGTAGAAGTGGAACTGTGCCCAGTGACCTCATGAAGGGCATATACTCAGGGGACCTGACAAGGTGGGTGCTGGGGTTTCCTGGTGAAGCCATGTGGAGGTGAGGGCAGGGAGAGAAATAGGAATTATTAGGCAGAGGCGGCAGCCATGAGAATTCTGAGCAGGAAAACAATACTTGCAATCACTCGGTGGCAGCAGCGAGTAGTATGTCAGGAATGGGTGTGAGGGAGCCAGGGTGCAGGATGATATGCAAGCACAGGATACAGGGACCAGACACCATGGGGCCAGGCCAAGGACTTTGTTCCGTATCCCGGGAGAAGCTTCGGGGTTTTAAAAAGAGGAGCAACATGATCAGATGTTTGCTTTGAAGAGATCTCTGGCTACAGAGGGGCAGTGGATACTGGAGGCAGAGTGGGCCCTAGAGACCCAAGAGAGGCTGTTGGAGTGGTCCTGATGGACACGTGGTAGGGTCAGTGTCTAACCCCAAATCTTATTTGCTTTCAACTGTATCTCACCACCTCCCTGTAAAGTGATCAGGAACATTTTATTGTCACTAGTCTATAAATGGGAAACCTGGAGTTTAAGAAAATTATTTTGTCAAGACCACTAATTCTCAGTGAGAAAATAAGAGAGAAGGGAGAATGCATCTTGAGTGTCACACGCCTCACCAGCTAATACATAGGAACAGAAAGTATAAATGTATCTTTAAGTTAGTTTTTCTTTACCTAATCTGCATTTATTCTGCCTTAATTCCCAATCTCTGCAGGCACTTGATGTAATAGACAAGGCTCTCCAGCTGAAACCAAAGGACCCAAAAGTCATATCTGAACTTTTCTTCACAAAAGGAAACCAACTAAGAGAGCAGAACCTTCTCGACAAAGCTTTTGAGGTATAAACACTTAATAAAATTATGATATTCAATTCATGGATTAAAAGTAATACTCCTTCCATCTTTATTGCAGCGTATGCTGTAAAATCTAAGATAATTGGTATGTTTGTGGAGTGAATTTTCTGATTCATTGATATCATATTGATTTTTTTATGATTAAGCTTCTGGCTTTTGATCATTCAGAGTTATGATCACCTTTAACTTTATGTTCACAGCATTTCACATCTTGGCCTCAAACCAGCTTCTCTCTCTCTCTCTCTCTCTCTCCCCTCCACCCCCTGCTCTCTCTCTAACTCTCACTCTCCCTTGTTCTTGCTCTCGCTCTCACTTGCTACCCGCGAGAACCCTCTATTCCAGCAAAACTAGTGCCTAAATAGCTTTGGGCATTTCCACTTATCCTTGAAATGTCCCCTCCCCTTAGTGGATGAGATTCTCACTCATCCACCAAGACATATTGTTTGTCCTCCTCCCTCAGGAAGACTTTTATGACCATCTTCACTCCTAGTGAATTTGCTTCTTCTGAATTCTTAAAAAAAACACTGGCTGTCTCATTAAGGTCCCAGCCATTTGAAAGTGTCATATATTACATTGTAATGTCAGGTCTTACCCCACCCTATGTGTGTGCATGCATGCATCCTTGCATTTTATCTCCCCAACTAGGTTGGACTTTCCTTGTGCAAAGGGACTGCTTCCTTCTCTATCCTAAAACAGCATCTCAACTGGGCACAATGGCTCATACCTGTAATCCCAGATTTCTTGAATCCAGGAGTTCAAAACCAGTCTGGGCAATGTAGTGAGGCCTTGTCTCTACAAAAAATTTAAAAAAAAATTAGCTGTGTGGTATGGTGGCATGCACCCATAATCCTAGCTATTAGGGATGCTGAGGTGAGAGGATCACTTGAAGCCAGGAGTCCAATCCATGATCATGCTACTGCATTCTAGCCTGGGTGACAGCATAAGACCTCAACTCAAAATAAAATATAAAATAAAGTATTTTGCATCTTTTAGATGTTCAATATCTGCGGCTTTGGAATAATTTATTCACAGATTGAAATCAAGAAGACATTTACAAATATAAATAGAAATGTTACAGAAATCCCATATTTTATTCTTGTATCTTGTAAAGCCACAAATTAATGAAGTTATAAAAATACACTAAATATATTATGGGCAAAGTGATATATCAACAAGTAATATAATTGTGTTGGAAAATAAACAAGTGAATGGTTTTTAAAATATTATTGGAAAACACATGTAAAGATATTTGGGAAAACTCATTTGAATGTGAATCCTTTAAACAGAAGCAGAAGTTGTAGCATTTTTCTTTGAAAAATTGTGAGTGTTTTTCTCAAAAATTGTAGGACTTTCCCTGCTTTTTGAGCACTTTCAATACCTTTATTCTTAAGTTATTTATAACTAATGTGATCATTTAATTATGAATATATATAACGTACCTCTATCTGTATCTTAATATATTGTATTGAAAACAAAATAATTTTCTAGTTGCTTGACCAATGGATCAAATAATAATTATAGAGTAGATTTATGAAGAATAGGAATAGAACCATTGAATCATAATAATAATAGCTAAAATACATTAGCACTCTGTATATGATTCATATGTATCAAGTAACAATCTTCACAACAATCATATAAAAAAGGCATGGTCATTGTCACCACTTGACATTTTATAAACTTAGACTCAGAGTCCATATAGTAAGGTCACAGAGTGGGTAAAATATGGAATCAGAATTTGAATCCAGCTCTTGACTTCTATACTGCATTCCCATCTACACTGATATAAACTAATTCAAGAAATACAACCTTTCCATTTATTTTAGCAGTTGTAGTTTCTTATCATTTGCCTCTTTCTCCTAAAACTGAAGTAAAGAAGAATGGACCAGATTTTACTTGGTAAATCTGTTTGGTTATATTCTTCCTAATGATAATAGCAAGAAACTATATATACACACAGATATAGTACTTAGCTTTGTAATTGAAGCAACTTTCTTAGCCTTTGTCTTTATTTCAGGTTACCACTCTTGAGACTCAGTGGTGAATATACTTTTGATGCAAAACAGCATGCATGATATTAAAAATATACCTCATATCACAGATATTACATTTATCATAGGATACTTGTTATTCAGACCAAAGAAAGTGTTTGAGGGATAGGTAACTCTCTTCAAACATTCGAAGATCTTTCATATGGCAGGGGAAAAAAGAGACTTTCAAATGAATAAAACTAACTTTAGTAAAATAGATATTCTTAAAGAAGTAATGAGCATTTATTTTAAGAATTTAAACTGGCTGGGTGTGGTGGCTCACACTTTGTAATCCCAACACTTTGGAAGGTGGAGGCAAGAGGATTGCTTGAGCCCAGGAGTTTGAGACCAGTCTAGACAACATAGAGAATCCTCATCTCTACCAAAAAAAAAAAAAAATCAAAAAATTAGCTGGGCGTGGTGGCATGCATCTCTATAGTCCCAGCTACTTGGGAGGCTAAGGCAGAAAGATCGCCTGAGTCCAGAAGGTTGAAGTTGCGGTGAGCCAGGATTGTGGCACTCTACTCCAGCCTGGGTGACAGAGTGAGACCCCAACTCAAAACAAAAAACACAGAATTTAAGCAATGGTTGAATAATCAGGTCAGTTGTATTTTAAAAGAGGATACTACATTAGGGTTAAACTGTTTAGAAAACGCTAAGACTCTGTGATTATAAAAAGAGTTTTCTTACTAACTCCATTTGCAGTGGAAAAGAGCCAAAAAAGCACTGTTTTCTTGCAGATTGAGGCCAGTGAAAAATGATGCACTATAATAGAAATCACCTGAATTCCCTGCAGGCGTCCTCAGTCTCTCTAAGTCCAGAGGTTAGCTCTGCAGGGAAATTATACATTTCAGTTTCCTCCACTTTAGAATCATCAACTCTGAAAAATAATAGAAATAAATGGGGTCTCCTGTGAACTAGTAGTGACTGGTTTTATTGTATTAACCCTTTAATTTTTCACACGTGAAGAAAGTAGTTCCAATTCTGTAACATTAAAGATAGGCCCTCATTTTCTAATCTGAAGATATTTCTTTTTTATTTAGAGCTATAAAGCAGCTGTGGAACTAAATTCAGAGCAAGCACAGGCCTGGATGAACATGGGAGGCATCCAGCACATCAAGGTGGGCGAGCCATTCATTTCTATAATGTGGGCAAGACTTTCCTTTTGTGCTTTCTGTCTGTCTTTCTTCTGTCTTCAAGGATTGATAAGTTATTGTTAATTTCCTATTTGAAATTAGTTGAGTACCAAAACCATGGGTGAAACTGTGAAATTACCACGGTTTATGTTTACATTGCATTATCTTGATATTGACTGTCATGAATCTACTTTAAAAATAAATCTACATAACTTAGATTCCATGATTTTACTAATCATAAAGAAAATCATATGTACTTAGGAGAATTATCAGACAGCAGATAAAATCCCTGTTGGAACATTATATGAGTTATTTTCCTCCCAGTTCCAATAATTGCCACGATTAAAGTGTTACTTTAAATATTTATTTTCTATTTCTTTTATCTAATGTATCTTTTACTTTCTAACCTTTTACTGAAAACAAGCTTGTTTGTTTTGGGTTTTTTTTTCCCAAAAGAAAAAACTACCTTTGGGGGACTATTATCCATAGTGAATGCAATAAAAGATTCACCATCTTTCTTTCATTCATTCATTCATCCATTCATTTTATAAGCATTTATGGAGAGCATCCTATGTGCCAGGTATTCTTCAAGATCCTGAGAATACAGTAGTGAACATACAAAACAAACCCCATTCCTGTCCTCATGGAACTAACATTCTATTAGGAGGAGATAAGTGATAAATATACACATACCTACATGCACATATAATGTACCTATACATACAAGTTACATACATAAAATATATTAATATCAAATGACAATAAGTGCTAAGGAGAAAAAAAGAGAAAGATTAGACTGCCAGGGAGTAATGACTAAGTTTTAAATTCAGGTGATTAGGTAATGCTTCAGTTAAAAAGTGATATTTAAGCAGAGACCCGAAGAGTGTGAGCCATGTGACAAAATAGAGAGGGAGCATGTACAAAGGCCCTAAGGTCTGAGTGTGCCTGTTGTGTTTGAAGAACAGTGAGGAAGCAGTGCAGTTGGGGCAGAGCAAGTGAAAGGAAATGGGAGAAACTGAAGTCAGAGGGGCCACAGGACTAGATTGTGCGGGCCTTGAAGGAGATTCTAAGAACTCTGGCTTTTATGCTGAATGAGTCAGGGTCCCTGGAAGACTTTGAGCAGAGAAATACCTTGATCCAACATGTTTTTAAAGGACCACTCTTGTTTAGTTAACTGATTTTCAGCCTCTGATAAAATAGCAGCATATGAGGAGGAACCCCCAAAAACCCAGAAGTTATTTACTAACAATTGTGCATTTATTCTTACATGTTTAAACTTCAGTCACCTTCAGAATGCTCTTCATTGTTTGATGCAGTACACCTATAGAGGCACTTTTTCCACTGTTCAAAATAGTTTTGGAACTCGTCAATTTTGATGCTTTTCAGTGCTTCTGCTATTTTTTGTTTCACCTCTTCCACACTGGCAAAATGTTTTCCTTAGAGGACTTTTTTAATTCAAGGAAACAAACAAAAATGTCGCTTGGGGAGAGATTGGGTAAATAGGGAGGGTGCGACACAGGAGTCTGCTTTTTTTGGTCAAACACTGCTGAACACTCAGCATGGTTTGGGCAGGTGTGCTTATAAATCACCGATCATGAAATGAGCAAACACACTGAAAGAATCTCCACAAAAAATTCACTGAAGCTGAATGCAGCCTCTCACCACAATGCTAGCTGGTACACTGATGCAGATGGATTCCTAGAACACTTACCTAGTGGGGGAAGCCTGTACTACAAGGGACTCGCTCTCCAAAAGATAATTCCCTTTTGTTTTGTTTTCTTGGAGTCCTCCCCTCGTAGTGATTAGAATTTAAACAAAGTCCTAATAGGTTTTATTGTTAAGTGAAAACTGATCACTTTTGGAAACACAGCAAAACAAAAAGGTGACCCTATGACTACACAGATGGGAGGGGATAATAGGATAGTTACCCTGCAACTGACAGCTTTGATTTAGTAGTCAGCGAATCCAAGCAAGACTTTCATTCCATCTGCATTACCCTAGCTCTGATCTTAATGATATTCTAGGGTGTCCAGTAATATCTAGTTGGGAAATATGGAATGAACTTACTTTCATACAGTAAAAAAATTATTTTAAATATTTTAATTGCATATTAGTTATATTTTCAAATATAGTCATGTGTCACATGACATGTTAGTTACAGATGGATCATATATAATGATGTTGGCCTATAAAATTAAATACCATATTTTTATGTACCTTTTTCGTGTTTAGATGTACAAATACCATTGTGTTACATTTGCCTATAGTACTCTGTACGGTAACATGCTATACAGGTTTGTAGCCTAGGAGCAGTGGGCTATACCATATAGCCTTGGTGTGTAGTAGGCTCTACCATCTAGGTTTGTGTAAATGCACTCTATGATGTTTACTTAAAAACAAAATCACCTAATGATGCATTTCTCAGAATGTATCCCTGTCATTAATCAAAGAAAGGCTGTAATGTGCTCAGTATGTTTTCAGATGGAGTGTGTCTGCAGTTAAAGCAATGAGTTTAGTTGTTAAGTAGAAAAAATGCAACCAATACCTTCAAAAATTTTCAAAAAGTCTGGAAATACAGAGAAAATAGTGTATCTATTGTATCCTCAACAGTTGAACCCACTGTTTTAAATTTAGAAGTACTTCCCCTGGGAAGGTGTCTGGAGATTGAAGAAGTCATATTTTATTTTTTTTTAATTCTATTTATTTATTTATTTTGAGTTGGAGTCTCACTCTGTCACCCAGACTGGAGGGCAGTGGCACGCTCCCGGCCACCGCAGCCTCAACCTGCTGGGCTCCGGCGATCCTTCCGCCTCAGCTTTCCAAGTAGCTGGAACTACAGGTGCGCGCTACCACGCCCAGCTAGTTTTTGATTTATTGTATAGACGAGGTCTCGCCAAGTTGCCTGGGTGGGTCTCGAACCCACGAACTCAGGCAATCCACTCGCCTCGGCCTCCCAAAGTGCTGGGATTACAGGCTGAGCCACAGAGCCCGGCCGAAGAAGTCATATTTTAAAAGTCATATTTTTGAAGTTAGTCATGTTTTAAAATATGACCAACACTGATTAAAATTTTTTTCTGTCTTTGTAGACATCATGTATTGGTCGAACAATATAAATTGCCACATTTGTAGTTTAAAAATGGTCTAATATCAGTGAATTTATATAATGCAATCTAGTGTAAATAGAGCAGGCATATGGTGCAGATGTGGTCATTTAGATGCCACAATTAGGATGCAGTGTTGTCATTATGAAGCCTCAAAGGACACTCATGAACTTTCTATGTCTTTTGCATTGTCAGGTAATGTGTGTATCAGGTAGTATTCCTGGGCTTTGCTTCTTCCTGAACCTGAGGGAAGCTTAAGCAGGCCTGAGGACTGTGGCAAGGTTGAGAGTTGGCTTTGCAAGGAGGTGACAGAAAGACATGGGGAGAGGAGGATAAGTGTCATGGTTGTTTCTTGCTCATGATATGTGGTGATTAAAGGTAATTCTTTTTGTGACGTTTTCCACAGGATGAAATGAGTGGACCAAAAAACTAATATACATCCTTTATAGTCAAAAAGTTGTATCAACTGGGCCGTATCACAAATTATGATTTTCAATACTGCCTTGTAACAGTGATATGCATATTCTAGAATGGCACTGTCCAGCAGAACTTTTGCCATGATGGAAATGTTTTATATCCGTACTGTCCAAGCCACACATGGTTATTGAACACATGAAATGTGACTGGCGCAACTGAGGAACTGAATTCTTGTTTAAGTATAACTAATTTAAATAGAAATAGCAACATGTGATTATTGGTCATTGTATGAACGCAATTCCAAAAATTGGAATTCAAATTCCTTACCTAATATCTAGGGCATTGGGTACATTGACTTAAGGGATATAACTTAAAAAAAAAATAGGACTTCTAGTTTAATAAACAAAAGCACAATTTGAGGGAGAGAAAAGAAACTAAGTTTTGCGTGAAAGGATAGAGAAACCTGGTGACCACGTAAGAGATGCCAAAGCAGTAGCCTGAGGCTTACATTCAGGGAGCCTCCTGGAAGAACAATTTCAAAATCAACCGCAGTAGAAACGTTTTAAGAGTGCTCTAAGAGCCACAGATGTATAGCTGTCTGCATGTATGTGGTTAAGCCTAATAAAAATCAGAAGATATTTGGAAGATAAATGTTGGAGTTGAGAAAAAAATAACTAATTGAATGTAGCAAATCCAGGTTCCCACTTGTTCAGCAATCTGTTTAGCTTTGCATCAGAGTTAGTGTTAATAATCAAAACCGTTTCAACTGTTGCACATGTCAGTGCCTGGATTTCTGATGTTACAGTTTCTTGTTCTGTCATCTTCACTTTCCCCTTTGCCAGTATGACAAGTAAATACTGTAAGAAATAGACAGTGTTTATGCAGAGCCTGGATAGTCATTTAACAATAGCAGTAATGATAACGTCACATTGAGTGCTCAGTATGTGTCAAGCAGTGTCTAAGCTTTTGACAGGCATCAACTCATTTAGAAGATAGTTAAACATCCAATAATGTTTGGTGCTTGTTGCTACATAGTGTCTTCACTCCAAGAGGTACAATTTTAAATTGTGATGGAAATTTAGAGAGTCACTGGTGTTTATCCACATGAGAGCTATAACTGAGGATAAAGAAAGCAAATTCATATTTTTTGGAATGGGCAGAACTCTAACAATCTTAGTTCTGAGAGTTTGCAGGACACAGATCTGAAAGAAATTGAACTAAATAAGGAAGGTAATTTATCCAGTAGCAGAAAATGTGCTGAAAGAAGCTAATAGTTGTAAATGATTTGCTGGGGGCCATCTGGGACCAGGCACACATGGTTGCTAGTTGGAGAGTTATTGAACAAAACAGATCAGGGCCAGCAGAGGGTGGGGTCATCAGGTGTGAAGCAGGTCAGAAGTGACCCTCCTGCACCAAGACTATAGAGGGTGCATATTGCCACACACCTTGGGTAGTAGACAAATTTGACCTCACATTCTTATCAACTCTTTTCATTTTGTAACAAATAAAACCTGCACTAAAGCCTCTATTAGACAAAAGTTGTTTTTATGGTTTCAGTTGAAGATTAGAATAACTCCTGCCGCTAAATAGATACAGTGGATACTTAAACTATTTAATCATTCCTCTTGCAGTGTCAAAAACATTTTTCTCTTCACTCTCTCTTCTTCTCCTTAATATGAAGCTCTCACCATGGTTTCATTTTGATTACAAAGAACAGTGCTAACCCCATGAGAACAGTATGAAATGACAGCCTTGTGTCCTGCAGTAGTAGAATTGAAAATCTGTTTTCTGCCATTTATCCTTGTGGTATAACGCTTATCCTTCACGTTCTCCAACTGACCTGGTACTTAAAACAAATAGATTCTCCAAAAGCACCAACAGATAAGGATAAAATTACACATAAAGACAGGGTTTCCGCATGAGAACATTAGTGTTAGAGTGGGCAGTGGGTCAGTTTCTTAGTCTCCTCATTCTCTGAGAGTGTAGTGATGGATCAGAATATAACTGTTTTCAGAATATAATTCTTTTCCTCTACAGGGAAACTATGCGTCTGCCAGAGCTTATTATGAGAGAGCCTTACAGCTGGTTCCAGAGAGCAAACTGCTGAAGGAAAATCTTGCCAAATTGGATCGCCTGGAAAGACGATTACAGGAAGTTCGAGAAAAGGATCAAACGTAGCACTATTTGACCCAGTCTTCTACGATAATGTGGTGCCTCTGAGAGAGGAAAAAGTGATGGTGACCCTGCTTTCACATCAGCAGGGGAACAAATATTGAAGCTTTCCTCTCATTCCAAGTTTAGGGTGGCACATATGGGGACATCTGCTGGTAATCCAGTACTCAAGGACTTGCATTTCCAGGAAAGAAGATAAAAGAGCAGAAAGATCTGAAAGGGAAGGAAAACAACAACTACACATTTTGCAGATTTTTGTTTGGTTTAACTCCAGATTTCTCTTGATATATTTCTATGCTTTTGCAACCTGGAGATCTAATTCCATTTCTTAGTTTAGACTTTTATGTTCCAGAAATATAGAAGCTTGAAATGCTGTGAAGGCAGAGCTTCTGTTATTGATGGAATGAGATATTTTAAAATTATCTGGGGTAAGCCATTTGGAAAATTCTGTCAAGAATTGGCTCCTTTAATTCTCCAGAACCAGAAATGAGTATCTAATAGTTTTTGTAGAACCTTCCAGAATATGTGGGGAAAGGAGCTTTTGTTAAGTGAGCTTTATCTACTATCTATTTAAGGATATTACTAGAGCCCTTTTGTGTATGGATATCTTCATCCCTAGGGGAATGTCAAGAAGCTTGGTACCCCTAATTCTTTATGGAAATGTTTAAAATTTTTTAAGTTCATTACAAGTATCACTAGAGTAGTGTTTCTACTCTAAAATTTCAAAAGTGCATTTGGAATCATAAATGTTCCTGCCTCCAAATATATTGTTATTTTGGTGGAGAAAAAAATAGTATATTCTACATAAAAAAATATTAAAGATATTAACTGAGAGAAATGTCCTACTTTATTATCTTAATGTTCAGACATCATGAAATTTAATTTTTTTGAAAAATATATTTAACCATTGAGAAATCTTTACAATATATCAGAAATCTTCATAGACTCTAACTAGATGGAAAGAAAGCTCTATTTATTTGTCTTTCTAGACTTAATGAGAATTCTGGGCATAGAACATAAGTCATTGAAACCTAGAGTTCTTTGTTTTGGGAATCTCATGAAGAATGTTTAAAACTCTAGGAAAAAAATCTAAATTCATAATTTTAAAAATATATATTTTTATTTAAAAGATAGGACAGGCAAAGCTGAATTCATAATTGACATTTATTTTTAGTGTTATTTATTTCATAACTTATAAAATATTTAATATATATACACACGCCTTTATCTTTGTACAAAGTGGTTTTAATAGCAGTTTTCAAAACCGATCTTATACAAATATAAATCTAAATTATAAAATATTTAAGTTTAAACAGTTCCCTCCCAAAATGTGTATTGATTATTCACTTGCTAAAGGTAAAGAAATGAAGAAGCCACCTTCAGTGTTCAGGTGGTATATTTTGGAAGTGAAGAAACTGGAACACCTGATTGTAATTTGGTCCTCATCATTAAAAACAGAAACACTCCAGGCAGTGCTGCTTCTGGAATTGGAATGGATATAACACACAGGCAGTGCTGTGTGATTCTAGGCAGGCATCCCACAGATGTGGCAGCCTGAAGGCTCCCAGGTTTCACATGCCTGGGCCAAGGCAGAGTAAAAAGAGAGTCTTCTCAGTTCTTTCAACCCAGTATCAGGAGGCACTATATGTTAAGATATTATTTTGTCAAGGTAAGTCTAAATAAACAGAAGAAAAAACTTCTTTGGGAAGGGATGGTGGGGGAATATTTTAAATGCAGACAACTACAGAATTTGAATTAGCATGCATCTGTTGGTGTGCTTCACTAATCCAATAATGTATATATGACCACTATGACCTTTCGTTTCTAAAAATCTTTCAGTGCTATATACCATAAATTTATCAAGTGTCTTAGGTCAGATATTTTCTTCCCTCCAAAAGCATTGTCCTGAGGCCAAGTACTACAGTGTTTACTATAAAATAACAACCCCACTCTCAACTGAAAAAAAAAAAAATCATGAAGCCCTAACTAATAAAGATATGTAGGACTTTATCACAGCATTTCAGAATAATCTGTAACCAAAACTCATGCTTAAACTTTAATGGAAAAGACTGAACTCCAAGTTCTGAACAACAATTATGCCTTACTGGAAGAGCTACAAAAGGTAGGAGGGTACCTTTGTTGGCATGATGGAAATGGTGATTTCAACCTAAAAGTTTCTGAGAGAAAAGGGTCTCATGGCCTTCAGGAAACTTTCTCTACTTCCTTTCAGGTGCTTTCCTATCCCTCTGCCCCTCCCCCCATCACCTTTCTTTTCCCCTCTTTTTTTCCCCCTCACTCTGTCACCCTGTTTCATTCTGTGTGCACACACTGGTTTCTCTTTGAACATTATAAGTAAGCTCTGTTTAAAAAAAGTAATTATTGTTTGTTGGCTGAGATATTTTTATCCCAAGTTAATACATTCAATGAATAGTTTTCACAGTCGCAACAGTGCCTGTAAGAAAATACATCACATACTATTTTTCAAAGATATGAAGTGTATTTTGTAACCATTTTTATTTGGCCCTTGTCACATGAATCATCATCCTTATCAAAAAAAGATGGATCACACTGGATTTGCATTCAGTTTTCCCTTCATGAAAGCATGCCTGCCCTCTGAGTTGGGAGCACCTTTTTGAAGTGAGGAGCAGAGCTGCATTCATGAGCAGGCAGTCCTCGCAGTCCCACCAGGCCCTGCAATTCAGAAGTACCCCGAGCTTAGTTGAATGCTCTGCTTGAAATTCTTAATAATTTTTGAAGAAGAGGATCTGCAATTTTATTTTGCCCAGGGTTCCCCAGCAGATCCTGGGTAGGAAGAAAAGTGACTGAGGATAAGACAAGCTTTAACCTGGCTGGACATTTTACTCAATGATAGGAGCTTCATTTGTGCCTGTTACTCTGCGCAGCACTTGCTGTTTTTTCTCAGCTACAGAGTTCCTCACGTACATTGTCTCCCTTCTCCTTCTTCTTCTGGTCTGTCTAAGCTGTCCTTCTGTCCTACCTGGAATCAGTTCTCTTCACCTTCAAAATCTCTGAGAAATGGCCATCCCTTAACATGTCCTTTGATGTAGAAGCCACAAGAATGGCCTCAGCGACTTATTTCAGCCTTCCAAATTATTCATTCAGGATTTTAAAACTAATTCAGATGTTTTCAGTCTATTAACAGTATTCATAAAATATGTCTCAGTGATAGAACATAGGTGAACTAAACCAAAGACGCAAATACCTTAGAGGAAAAGAAATTTTAGGGAATCCAGAGTTATATTCTTTTGTGGTTGTTTATTTTGAAATGTATCACAAAACAATGAGGATTGTCAGCACTGTAATTCTAACTCCCAACAGTACTTCACAACCCTTAGCATAAGATTCTGAAATTTTTGACAGGTAGTACCTAGTGTGGTGCAGGGTTTTGCAGTGTTTGTGCAAATGCCTTTGTGCAGCTTTCCAGCTAGATTAAACGAGAAAATCCAACAAATCAACCTACAATAATTGTAACTTGAGGGTGAATAAAAAGCAAATGTGTGGTTTCTTATGTCCCTATTAGACATTTCAGGTTCCTCAGATTGAAGAGCAACATTCTACTGATAGTTGAGCTCTGTTCCCTCACATATAGTGGCTCTCAACACTGGCTGTACTTTAGACTCACCTGTAACCCAAAACCTCTCATACTCCTAAAATTAACAAAATTTAAACATTTTTTAAATCACGTAAGAACCTTTCAAAATCTTTGACACCTGACTGTCCAGGTGATGATTCCAATGTGCAGCCAAACTAGAGAACCACTATGGGGCTGACAACTTTAATGGAAGTTTGTAACTGTTACAAAAGAGGTGTTTATAATCTTTTGCAGTTTTCACTTTTAAATCTATACTAAAATGAGCCAAAGAACTCTAAAGAATGATATGTGGCACAGTTGGTTAGTTGAGTCTATCATCCCAAGATTTACCAGCATGTGGGTTTGTGGGGTAGTTTTGCACTTGTGGAAATCGGACTACAATTTGGCCTTACATTTACAGAATTCTTGGTCCTCAGATGGAGAGGAATTGCCTTGAAATGTACATGTACTAGACAAAGTGCCCGGTATTTTTTATGACTTGTAGAAGTTGTTCATGGCATAGAGTTTATGCCTACATCTGTGTCTCTCTTTCTTTTGGGCACACACGTGAGCTTTTGTTAATTATTTCTTGATTATATGTGTTAAAATCAATTTTTGAAAAAAAAAATTTTTTAAAAAGCAAAACATTTTGCTTTTATTTGTGTTGGATTCACCCCCTTAGAATAATAAATCTATAGGATATTAGTAACAGCATTCAAAGCATATATAGTTAGAGGTGGTTTATTTGCTTTTAATTGTTTTCCTCGTTTTCCTGGTTCCATGTCACTTTTACTTTGATTTGATTGTATGTTGGTATCTCCCATTTAGAGTAAAACTTAACTATCTAAATGGTATTTTTTGATATTTAGAAAGAGTCAATACTTGTCAAATCTTGCATTTAGGTTGCAGCTGAATAAGATAAAAGCTTAGGGTGCCAAAAATAATATAGCAAAATATGACAAATATTTTATGATTATTCTTGAAGTGCAAAAGAAAAATATGTTGAATAGTTCTTCCAAAAATAGCATCTCCCTCGATATTTTTCTAGTAGTCCTATAACTTAAAGATAGGAAAAAAATAACTGCAATCAAAAGTCTGGTTTAATGTAAATAAAAGTGGCACAACAGAATAATAAAATTTATAACAATCAATTGGTTTATATTAAAATGTTCCATTTTTATCATCAAGGTTCTATTCCTTTAAAACTTTTAGGCCATGTAACTCATAAAATCAGCATCCATCATAATATATGGTTATTATGGTTAAGTTTACTTAACATTGACTTCTAACTTGAAAGAGATGTCTACATCCAGAAATCCAGGAGTTTCTTCACATTCTCTGTGGTGTACATGGTGTACATTTGTAACACGTGTGGTAGTTTCCAATGTGTATAATGTCCTTTTGGAGTTATGTATCTTGCAGGTCGATAGGTGTGGTATGCTAGGTCAAGAATCAAGACATCAACATTCTAGCTCTAGCTTTGTCACCAGTAGCCATCTCATCTGGGGCAAGTTAGCCAATATCTCAATCATGTTTATCACCCACAAAAGAACTGGTCAATCTGATGGTTCCATTAAGCTCCATGAGCCTTTTCAGTGGTTACTCTTGCATCTGGATTAAAAAGCACTGTGTATTCAATGAGACAACTGATCGATGCCACCCTTTGTTAAGATGATCTTTAAGATAATCATAATCACTGCAACAAAACACATAGAGAAACAACCCTAAAAGTGAATGAATGGCCCAAGTGCTTGAACATGGCAGAGGTAATTACTCTTATCTTACAGTTTGTACACGTAAAAAATTCTTACAGTGATTGTTACTTTATTGGGAAAAAAAGATAAAACTTCTTCCTAAGGAATTAAAGTATCTGTCAAAGCCATGGCTTGTTTTTATCATGTGGAAATCATTTGATTTACTGTGATTCACATGCATCCCACCTTTTGTTGGGAAATGACTTTCCTCATGTTCTTTGTTCATAATGCTTTTTTATTTCCTATTTTGATCAGTTGTATACAAATGTACATTTGTGTTACCTTTGCTGTGCCAGTTAGAAACATATCTCCCATAAAGTATTTCTCCCATGAAGTCTGATTATGTATACTTTGCCTAGGTCTTTCCAAAATAAAATCTATGTAAATGTCTATTTTATATAAAATATAATGAAAATAAGTATGTCTGGCTTCACTCTCTCAAGTACTTCCTATAGATGTTCATGTCACCAGGAGAGGTGTCAGTTTAAAACATTTTTTAAAAAGGACCATGTTCTTTTCTCCCTCCCTCCTTCCCCGCCTTCCCCCTCCCCCATTCCCTCCTTCCTCCCTTCTCTCCTTCCCTCACTGCATTGCATTTTCTATATGCTTCCTGTCTGCTCTCTTTTCCTTACCCCACACAAACTCTATCTCAGTATTTACCCACTCCACATCTGTTCCACCATCCTGCTTAGTAGATGCCTTTACCTGTTTCTTTTTTTTTTTTTGAGTTGGAGTCTCACTCTGTCACCCAGACTGGAGTGCAGTGGCCACTCTTGGCCACTGCAGCCTCGACTTGCTGTGCTCCGGCAATCCTTCCACCTTAGCCTTCCAAGTAGCTGGAACTACAGGCGCGTGCTACCATGCCCGGCTAATTTTTTGATTTATTGTAGAGATGAGGTCTAGCCAAGTTGCC